GCCGCCGCAGCTTTTGCTGGCCCAGCCTTGTGCTGCCGGCATGCCGGGGGGGCTAAACATAGTCCTGGGGGGGTATTTCGGGTTGCCCGGAGGGATTTTCATGGATAGATATAGAAAGGGACGTGTGCGTGTGAGTCCCGACGCTTCTCGCTGGCCGAGATGGGAAAGGGGCGGCGGCCGCGGGCAAGGCTGGCACGGCCCCGGGTGGTTTTGCAGGAAAAGAGATGGGAAACTTTGTTTTAGGGTGCCAGCTGTGGAGAGGGATGCCTGAATGCTGGGATTGTGGCTGGGGGTGTCCGTGTGTCTGCAGGGCTGGTGGGGAGGTCTTGGACCGGGACTCCTCCTGAATCTGGGTCTCAGGCTTGAATCTGGGAGTGGATCTTGAATCTTCTCAGTGGATCACAGTCTCTTGAATCTGATTCTCAATGGATCACAGTTTCTTAAATCTGAGCCTGAGTGGATCACAGTCTCTTAAATCTGGTTCTCAGTGGATCACAGTCTCTTGAATCTGGGTGTGAGTGGATCACAGTCTCTTGCTCCCTGGTTATCAGTGGATCACAATCTCTTGAATCTGGTTCTCAGTAAATCACAGTCTCTTTCTCACTGCGTAACCCCAGTATTTATCCTGCTACAGCTGAGACAGGCTGGCACCTGGCATCTCTAACTGTCCAGCTAAAGCTGTGTAATCCTCACCCAGCATCACGGCCAGGGCTGGAGCTTCAACTTTGACAGGCCAAACTAGGTGTAAAAATAATTGTAATTGCACTTTTGGGGGCTGGAATATTGCTGGAGCAGGGACAAAAGGAGCAGTGGCAGGGTGCTGGTGCAGGAGGAGGGAGCATCCATGTTGGGTGCATCTGCTGCCTTTAACTGCTTGGTCTGGTGTGATGCATTTTTACAGGCAAGCAGAGGGCATGAGGTGGAGCTTGCTCTGGGGTAGAGAGAAAATGCAGTTTTCAGAAGGGGGAAAAAGTGCTGATTAATTTGGAATAAGTTGGGAATGAAAAAAATGATACTCATTGGTGGTGGACTGGTCTGGTTTCGAGCCCTGTGTGGCTCCAGGAGCTGTTGGCTCATCTTGTGGCCTTGCATTGTTTAGGTCAAGGCAGGTAAATCAGGTTTAATTTGACCTTCAGCAGGTTCCTACCTGCTGGAAACTCATCTTTTATTGAAAAAAACCAAACCAGAACAAAAAACAAAACAAACAACAAAAACCAACCAACTAAAAAAAAAAACAACCAAAAAAACCAAAACCAAAACCAAACACAACCAAAAAAAAAAATCCAAAATATAAAACCCAAAAAACCAAACCAAACAAACAAAAAAACCAAACAAAAAAAAACCCCAACCAAACCACAAAAGCTTTTCTGGATCAGTGTGTGGGAAAGGGGATCCTTCAGATTGTGTTCACGCTTTTGGAAGCACAGAAAGCTCTTTGGGAAGAAGAAAGTGTTGTCCATAGGGAATCTGCTTTGTTTTATCTACCTCTTCCCCCCTGTCTTTTAGTAAATTTCTCTGTTTTGGTTGAGTAGAGTATTCTGCTTTTATTCTATTCTTTTATTCTTTTATTCTATCCAGGATTTCATAGGAGTGGATTGTTTTAGGGATTCCCGGGCTGGAGCAGGCAGGAATGTGTCTGAGCCAAACAACCTTCCTCTGGCACCAGCAGGCACCAGCTGCTTGGGAGGAAAGTGCTTGAAACCCTACAATTATGGGATAATGTATTCCAAGAGAGTTTCTTGGCTTTCCATTCCTGGGCTGGAGAGTTTATATTCCCTCCCTGATCCTTGTGAAATGTTGCTAAACTTGGATGTTCTTGTCACCTGCTCCTCGATGGGGACAATCCCACAGCAGCAACTGGCAGGGCTTGGGGCTGGGCAGGAGGGGAAAACCCCCAAATTTTCTGGCATTTGCTTTGAATTTTGTGACTCTGTTTGTGGCAGAGGAATCTTTGAAAAGATCTGAAGGGGCACGGCCTTCCACAGCCATGTATAGAGCCAATGGAAAAGGGATAGGGAATTAACAATATAACCTGGATTGTTCAAGGGAATTAGGCACAAAATTCACTCAGGGATGTTGGTTAATCCTGCAGGGCACTGTCAGTATCCAGAGAAGTTTTATTCCTGCTGGGGCCTGGCCAGAAGGTGCAGCAATTGTCTCCTCTGGCTGGGGACAGGTTTGAGGGCTCGGGACATGGAGCCTGAGCCACCACCCCACCCCACAATTTTGCAGGCAAACTCCAGTCCTGGGAGATTTTTTTTCTCTTTTTTCCCTTTGTTTTGCCTTTGAAAAACCCCACTAACAAACGCACACACACATTTTTCTTCTTTTTCATCTTCTTCTTTCCAACATCAAACCCACCCATGTGCAGGAGCAGGGCTGGCTGTTTTTCAAGGCAGAGCTTTCCCACAGAGCTGTGCATTTCTGGATGCTCTTTACTATAGAAAATCTCTGATTTTTGGAGGTGATGGAGCCTGTCCAGCCCCTCTGCCCAGCCTGGCCGAGGCTGTGACAGGATGGGGACAAGCTGGCAGCGATTCTGGAGTGAAAGCAGGCTGCCTCCCTCCTCTGGTGCGAGGGATGGCCACGGAGCAGGTTGCCATGGAGAACGGGGATTATTCTGCGCGTGTGTGTGTACAGGCTGGGGGGGAATATCGTAATTTTTTTTTGTCCAAAAATCCCCAATTTCTGATGGAGTGCGATGCCGTGCTCACCCGACCTTGGGAGCTCCAACCTCCAACCCCATCCCCATCCCCTCCTCCCCTGCTGCTGCTGCCCCAGCCCCTCCATCGGACTCTTATCTCCAATAATCCCCCCTAAGAGGGCTTTCTGCTTGTTATGACACCCAGTGAAAGCGTGGGAGAAAGATCCTTTCTTCGCCCTTGTCCTCCACAGCCAGCCACTAGCCTGAATGGGAGGCTTTTTTGTGTCTCTGTGTGCCTGACTAATTGAGCTGAAGGACTTGCGTCTGGAAGGGCTTGAAAGGGACTTTTGTTGCCGCTGCGGAGTTTGTGGAAGGAGAACGAGCTCTGCTTTCTTAGGGAACGCGGCTCCTGGGCAAATTTGACTCTCGAGTGCTCACGCCTCCCAGTTCTTTGGGAAAATAAGAAAAAAAAAAAAAAGGGTGGTGGGATTGGATTTTTTGTGTTGTGTGCGGGGTTTTTGGGGGGTGCATTTTTTTTTCAGTGCTATTGGCGCTGGAGAATTGAGTCTGGCAAAAAAACCCAAAAAACAAAAAAAAAAACCACCCTGGCCCCGGAAGGTTGGTGAGCTGGCTGTAAAAAAAAAGGGCTCGGTGAGATGAGTTAAAAACTGGCTAAAAATAACAGTATCAGAAGCCCTCCAAAAATAACAGTATCGAGAGCTCTTGCCTCCAAAAATAACAGTATCGAGAGCCTGTGCCTCCTGCAGCTTTTAAAGCCTCATAATCCAACCCCAAATCTTCTCCAGGATTCCATGGGAAATTCCTTTGTGGTCCACGGATGCTTTCACATCCCGCTGCATCCTGAGAGGAGATGAGCACCAGCCATCACAAGAGAGTTTAAATGGCAGCTGCAAAATTCCTCTTTTCCTTTTGGCCTTAACAGGAGTGCTGAAAAGTTGGGATTCTGCCTTAAATTGGTGCCAGGTGATGCCCAGGTGGCTCCTGGCAGCACCAGTGGCAGTGTGGGCATCAGGAAGGGATCTTTATTCTACCTGTGTCATCCCCAACCCTTTATCTTCCTTAAAGCACCCAACATCCTGCTTGGCAGGAAAACCAAGAGGTTTTGCCGCAGCAATTTGGGAATTTAAAGGTTCTTTTGCACTAGGAATTTTGGTTTGGGATACCTGGATTATTTTCCCTGTTGGTATCTCCTGTGGCACTTTTTTTCCCATCACGAGAATTTGGTGTTTCCATGTGTCCAGGAGATTTTCTTGCTTTGTTTGGTAATTTTTCACGATACTGAATTCATTCAAAGACCTTCTCCAGCCTGAATTTTGCCCATGGTGTGGCTATGCAAAACCTACTGCTAAATGTCTGTCCTGGAAAACATCCTCTGGCAAGGTGGGAATGTGGGGTTTGGGAGGAAAAAATGGCTTTTGAGGCAGAAAACTTCTTGGCATGTGGCAAAGATGGCTTTTTAGGTGGTTGGTAGGAGAAATGGGTAAGAAAGTGGCTGGATGGGGTCACTTTGTTCCTGTTGCTTATTTCCCATGGGATGTGCAGCCCCTGCACCTTGTTGAGAAGCCGATTGAAATGATTTTCCAAAATATATTTTCAATAAATATATTTCCACTGTAATTTCTCAACACCTCCCCTCATCCCTTCTTCCTTTATTCCGTAGATCTTGCAGGTTCCTCCACGCAAAAAAAATTACTGTAGAAGCTGCCAGGGTCCATTCCATGTCCTGTGTGGATAAACCCTCACAGGGTGTGTTATTGATTTCTAACGACAAGGGGTTAAAATGTATTGAAAATTGTATTTTTAATAGGGTGATGTGGAGGCTGCAAATGCCCAGGGCACCTCTTTTCCCACCCTGTGCCCAAGGATATCTTCAGGAATTTTCCAGGGCCAAAGAGGTGCATCAAGGACGAGGGCAGACCAGAACAAACGGGTTTGAAACAGATTTAGACATGAGTGGTGAAATTTGATAGAGAGGGAAGTTGAAGGCAAAGAGAGCTGAATGAACAGGAGGCATTCTAAATTAAAAAAAAACCAATCAAAAATTTAAAAATCACTTTTGGAGACGGAACCAAACCCTATTTTCACATGACTCCACTTGGAGTTTTTAAATCCAGCATTTTCTGCACTCCTTTCTGGCAACATTGTGCTAAACCCAACCTTGGTTTTGTGTCCTGCAGCCCGAAGCCTGTCCTGCTGAAGATCCTGGGATGCCCACGACACCAGGTATGTGTTAATGCACCCTGACTCCTTCCTGGGCCAGAAAATGACAATTTCTGGGTGTTTGGGTGCTCATCAGGCAGCATCTGAGGAGTTTGTCCTGTCAGCCCCACGCCAGGATAATCCAGTATTGGTTATCAGTGATGAGCAGCTCCCGGCCACGCCTGGGCATTGCTGCAACGCCAGCATCCCCCAGCCTCTTTTTATAATTTTTTAATATTTTATTTTTTTTTTATGTGTGCATGTTTGTTTGTTAGTTATTTTTATATATGCTTTCCAATAACTAATTAAAAATAGAAAAATCACCGAATTCCACTTTTGGAATGATGTGTGAACTTGGAAATTGGGGCTTGGAGTCAAAACAAGATGAGGGGAGCAGAGCAAGGCTCCTGCTCCAATGAGCTGGAGACCAGAAAACATAAAGAAAACCAAATTGCTGGTGCCTTTAAAAAATATTATTATTTTTTTTATTTTTAATTAAAAAAAATATTTTCAGTAAGGAAAGAGATTTGCCAAAGTGCACACCTCACGTACGTTTTACCCTCTGCAGAGGTCTTATTATGCTGGAACCAGCTTAATGAAATAAAAGGGTTTATTTTTTTTATAACTGACCAGTAGTTCTGCACTTGTGCATTTCAGAGCCCAGCAAAGTGACTCTAAACCAATAATCTTTGTAATGTCTCAAACCTAACCCCTAAAATGTGGGAAATTCTTGTCCTTGCACAGATTATTGCTGCTGCACTTAATATCTTATAGCTCAAATAACAAGAGATTTTGAGCAGATTGGGAAAAAAAATCAAATGTAAAAGGAGGTATAGAAAAGAACAGAAAAATCAGGAGGTTTTGGAACAGATAAGAAATAATTCTTGGACAAAACACAGCAGCAATCCCAAAGTGCTTTATTATTGTGAATCAATACAATGTTGCTGTAAAATATATTTAGAATTCTGCCATGCATCTATTTCTCTGTAATATTCATAATTCCTGCAATCTCAACATTTTGTGAGCACGAGGCCACTACCCAGAATTTCCTTGTTTCAGTCCCCAGCACTGGGGCCTTCCATCTTTGGGGCAGGGATCAGGAATCAGGATTTTTACAAAGCTCTGGAGGAGTGGGGCACTGATGCCACACAGGTTTTGAACGCATTCTGGGCATGCCGGGATGCTGGACAGGTCCCAGGGATGTGGATTGAGACCCCAGTGCCACCACTGCCACCCTCTGCTCCTCCTTCCCTCTCTCCTCACAGAACCACGGGCTCACCCAGCACTAGGGAAAATTGCAATTTAATTTTTTTTTTCCTCAATGAAAACACTGGGAAGAAAAAAATAAAGGGGGAGAAGAATGGGATCTTGGTGCATTTTGTGACTTTGTTCCCAGCAGAAGAAGAGCCAGGGGCTCCAAGGCCAGCCCAGTGAGGGGTTCGATGTGAGCAGCCAAACCCTTGTGGCTGCCAGGACCCTTTTCTGCTGCACCACCGGAGGGTTTCACCTTCTGCCAAGAGCAGCCTGCATCCCTTCTTTCTCTTCCCTTCCTTTTCTTTTATTTTCTATCCTTTTCTTTATTTTCTTACTTAATATTTATTTAATTTTATTTTTCAATTTATTTTAAAATTTTCCTCTTTCTTTATTTTCCTTTTAAATTTCCTTTAATTTTCCTTTTAATTTACCTTTAAATTTTCCTTTTAAATATTTCGTTTCTCTTTCATTGTATTTCTCGTTTTTTGTTGTTGTTGTTGTGATTTTCCTATATTTTTCCCTTTGTTTTCTTTTCCCATTTTAATTTCCATTTTCCCCCCAATTTCTCGCTTAAGCCTGCTTTGTCTTGTCTCCTGCTGGAACGTTTAACGAAGGGCCAGCCGCTCCCACGCCAGCAGGGTTTATTTTATTGTTGTTGTTGGTATTTTCCTGGTGCTTTGTTCCACCCTCCCCATCTCGGTGCCCATCGAGGGGAGCGGGTCGGGGTGCCCACCATGGATGGGGAAGCACAAAGCCCCAAGGAAGACACGAGGGCTCTTGTTATCCTGGCCGTGCAGGAAAGAGTTAACCCATTAGAAATTCCGAGCCCTTCTTCCGATAGTTAAACCTGATTTGCATGCATTTGCATAATGAATGTCATTTGCATTCTTGGAGGTTGGCTACTTCTGTGGGAAAAGTCAAAGCGGGATTGCGGGGAGGGTGAAGGGGGGTCGGTGAAGAAAGAAGGGAAGATTTTTTTTCCCCGCACCCCCGCGCATCCCTGCCCCTCACCATCCTCACCCGAACGCTCTTTTCCTTCCCCTCTTTCCCCCCCATTTTCCCCCCTCGAGGCCTTCCTCCCTTCTCCCTTCCGCAGGACACAAAGGCAGCCATCGCTGCCTAGGCCGTGCCGAGGCCAGGCGCATCCTCTCCCGCTTGCCCCCCTTCCCCTCCTCTAATTTCTGCCTCTAATTCCATCTTGGCTCCAGTTCCCGGCGCCCTCGCGAGCGGGGGGCTGCGGCCCCGGCCCTCCCCTCCCCGTGGGTGCATGCGTGCTGAGGGGAAGGCAAGGTGGGAGCCACCATTTTAGGCAGCTGCTGTGTAAAATGGCCGATTCCCCTCGGCCGGGCCCAGCCACGCGGGCGGGAGCGTTCTGGCGGCTTCCATCGCGTTCCGGCTGCTTCTGTGGGATGGGACAGAGCTGCTTGCCGTGCTTCGGGTGCTGCGGCTTTGCCATGGAGCCTTCGGCCTCAAGAGGCTCATCCCAGCCATGCTGTGGGGTCTTCGGCCTTGAGGGGCTCATTCCAGCCTTGAGGGGCTCATCCCAGCCTCATCCCGGGGCTTTTGGCCTCAAGAGGCTCATCCCAACCTCAAGGGGCTCATCCCAGCCTCACTGTGGGGCCTTCGGCCTCAAGGGGCTCATCCCGGTCTTCGGCCTCGAGGGGCTTATCCCAGCCTTCAGCCCTGAGGGGCTCATCCCAGCCTCGCCACAGAGCCTTTGGTCTCAAGGGGCTTTTCCGGGCCTCATCATGGGGCCTTCGGCCTTGATGGGATCATCCTGGTCTTCGGCCTCAGGGGGCTTATCCCGGCCTCACTGTGGGGCCTTCAGCCTTGAGGGGCTCATCCTGGCCTCATCCCGGGTTCTTCAGCCTCAAGGGGCTCCCACAGACCCTTCAGCCCTGAGGGGCTCATCCCAGCCCTCAGCCCTGAGGGGCTCATCCCAGCCTCGCTGGGGGGCCTTCGGCCTCAAGGGGCTCATCCTGGCCCCTCTTCAGCCTCAAGGGGCTCATCCCGGTCTTCAGCCCTGGGGGTCTCATCCCGGCCTCGCTGGGATTTGGGATTTCCTTCTTCCCGCCATCACTGGGATGTCACAGCCACAAAACCCCCCAGCCAACGCACACCCCAGAATCAGCCTCTTTTCACTTCGTCTCCAGGTTTTGCACCACCAAAGGCAGCTCTATCATATTTTTTTGCCGTATTTTTAAAAAATTGTTGTTCAAAGTACCCTCCGTGCCTTCCTGTGGGGCTTGAGGCTTGGCTGCAGAATTTTTTCCTAGATGCACTAGATGATGTTTCATTCTTTGTGTACTGTGATAACATTAGTGAAACAGCTGTTTAATTATTTTTTTTGTACCCCTCCTCCTTCTTTTGGACTAGAAAAATTCAATAGCCTCATTTTTTTCTGTTGCTGAAGCCATTTCATGGCTGTTTAAGAAAGGGGGAAAGAATAAATGTGAAACAAGAGTGACTTCATCCCCTCCTGTGTGCCATGGGCTGAGGCATGAGAAGCTTCACCTGGTCCAAGTGATCTATGGGCACAAAGTTAAGGTTAATCTCAGAGAGGGGAAAAAATCTCTTCACACAACTGGTGCGAAGTGATTAATTTTACCACAGCACCTGAAATATATTGGGGTGTTTTATCTGAAGCCCCATTGCAAGGGATGTGTGTTTCAGGTGAAAATCTTGGTGTTCCATGAGGCCGCGTTTGTTGCTCTTTTTAATTTCTCCCCATCCCTCTGTTGCCATGAGACCTGGAAACTTAAAAGCCTAAATATGCTAAGTGAGTTTAACCCTGGTGTGACGGGAATTTCGAAAGCAGATTAAAACCAACTCAAAATTTATCCCTAGAAGAAAAATAAATCACATTTTTTTGCTTGTGGGCTGATGCTGGACTCCCAGACACACCTGGTTTGGGGCAGCCCCATGGGGAACGTGGCTGGGCTTGGCTCTGGTCTGGTCCTTGGTGGGGTCTGTGGGGTGGCAGGGGCTGGGGAAGGGGAAATGTCACTGCTGTGTCCCTTCAGCTGGAGCTGGGAAGGGCCACGCGCTCCCCTCCGCCTGCCAAATGTGCTTAGTCAGGAATGGGAAATACTTCCCTAAAACTTGCAAAAATGCACTAAGACTCTTAGCTCTTGGGCTAAGCTGCAGCTACTTAGTCCACTTCTCACTGCTGTTATTTATAAACTTCAGGCTGTGCTGGGGGATTTTTTTTTTCCGTTTCCTTTTTTTCTGGTTCTTTCCCTGGGATGGGGCACAGGAACGTGTTGGAAGTGGGGCTGGAAGGAGAGGATGGGTTTGGGCATTGCCACCAGTGCCACTCATTGGCTTGGCACCACTGAATTTCCACAGAATCAGATTGTCTCTGATTTCTGTAGTGTTAGAGATGATTTATGGGACTGTTGGCCACCAGAACAAGCTCTTTTTCTGACCCTTCCTCAATTAAACCACATCAGTTCTGCATTGAGTATCTAAATCCATGTGTAGCCTGTAAGTAGCCATGGTTGGAGGCAGAGAAATCTTAAATTATCCAACCAAAACCACTACACAGAGTTTATACACATTGAAAGTACATAAAGTGAAGATTAATATTTTATTAAAATATAAACCAATTCTGTAAGGACACTCCAAAGGGTCAGGGCTGCTTACTTTTGGTATTTTCAAGCAGGGATGAGCAGTGCTGGAGCTTTGCCACAGCTCCCCAGAAGACAAAGAAAGAATAAAGAAAGTGTGTTTTTTGACTTAGATTTAGAGTTTTTGGTTCTGCTTGTGGCTTTTGAGTGCCTGGAGTTGGTTTTTCTACACGATGCAGTGAGATGCTGTTTGGCACCACAGCTGGCAAGGACAGGGAATGGTGCAATGAGAAATTTCAAATTTCATTTCATTTCAAATTTCATTTCATTTCAAATTTCATTTCATTTCGAATTTCATTTCATTTTAAATTTAATTTCATTTCTAACAGCCATTTCAAATTGCTCCAGAGCAGACCCCAGCTCCTCTTGCTCCCTACAAGGCTAAGGCCCCACAGAGGCATCTCAAATTAGGAAACCAGCCCAGTTTCAAATATGCTGAGAAATTTTCCAGATGAATTCTCTTCCTCATTCCCCTCTCATGTAAGAAGTGTGGCTGTAACCTCCCTGTCCTGGTGTAATCCAGGCAGAGAACATGGGTCTGACATTTAACATCCTCTTTTCTCTCTCTCGCCAGGCTGGATGTGGGTTCACCCTCCCTGCTGCTCATTTTCTGGCTGACAAATTATCTCTGGCCCTGGTGAGAGTTCATGGGAATATCCTGGTAAGGGGATTTTTTGAAATTTAGGATTTTTTTAAAAAGCATTTCCCTAAACTTACACTGGGTCTGGTACCAGAAGGCTGCTGGGATGGGCTGAGTGTCTCCATGGCAAGTGCTTGGGGACTGGTGAGAGCTCATGGTGGGGAAAAAGAGGAGCCAAAATCTCCATGGTCACCAGCACCTTCCTTGCTGACCATTTGGCCCAAAGTGTCAAACATCTGGATTTTTTCTGTGTTTAAGATAATTTTTTGTGGGTTTGTTAACTGGTAATGCCCAAGCCCTGGGAGAGGTGTTTGTCTCATTTACAGGAACAAATAAAAACAGAGGAGGGGGAGTTTTCTGTTAAATAGAAAGAGGATAACAAAGGTGTTTCTGTTGTGTTTGATTTTAGCTCAGATTGGCTCACTATTACATGAATCAGGAGTGGGGGTTATATGGAAAACCCCACCCTCCAAAAGCCATGAGGAGCTGCCAGCAGGACCTTGTCTGAGGGACCCTCAGCAGAAGGGCTGATCCCTCCTCATCCTCCTCGTGCTCCTCCTCTCCCTGCTCTGCTGGCCTGGAGCATGATGTGGAACCTGATTTGCACCAGTGGCTGACCAGACCTGCTGACCAGCACCAGACCTCAGCATGGGGCACAACACCAGCACAGGCACACTCAGGGTGCAGAGGACACCAGGACATGCCCACCCTGCCCGCTGCACTGTGGGCACTCACTGGTGAGCCTGGGGATGTGCTGGGTCACACTGGGGCATGGGGAAGGGATCCACCTCAAGGGATGGTGATCCTGGAGTTGTGGCACCACCATGCTGGGTCACACTGGGGCGTGGGGAAGGGATCCACCTGGAGGGATGGAGAGCCTGGGGATGTGCTGGGTCACACTTGGGTGTGGGGAAGGGATCCATGGAGAGCCTGGGGATGTGGCACCACCATGCTGGGTCACACTGGGGCATGGGGAAAGGATCCACCTGGAGGGATGGAGAGCCTGGGGATGTGCTGGGTCATGCTGGGGCATGGGGAAGGGATCCTCCTGGAGAGATGGTGAGCCTGAGAATGTGGAACCACCATGCTGGGTCACACTTGGGTGTGGGGAAGGGATCCATGGTGAGCTTGGGGATGTGGCACCACCATGCTGGGTCACACTGGGGCGTGGGGAAGGGATCCACCTGGAGGGATGGGCATGGCAGGTAGAGCCCACAGCAGAGGGCAGCTGGCCCGAGGAGGAGCTGATGGCCAGGGGAGAGGTGCTGGGAAGGGACAGTGTGTTTATTATGGAGGCGCAGCTGAAGCGGGTTCTTTGCCAGTGGTCAAGTCTGAATCACAAACTCTGCATTGTTTCCGAGTGTGTTCAGCACATTTCCCTTCTCCCCCTCCCTTTCCCTTTCCTCTCCTCTCGCCCTTGCACAAAGCTGTCATTGTGCCGGGGACTTGGTGATGGCAGCGTTGTTATTTGGTCA